CCCTCTCCTCCACCTCTGGCCCCCAAACTCAGCCAAGTGCCTCCTCTTGCCACCACCACCATCGCGCCGTCACCGCCATCATCACCTGGCCCCCAGGACACCTCAGGGCTCCCCGCCGGCGAGGAGCGTCCCTCCGTCCTGCCACCATCCAGGAAGCACCTCGAAGGTAGGAGACACCCCCTCCCCACCTCAATATCCCCCCCCACACCTCATCGCCATGGGGTGTCCGGTGGGCATCATCCATGGTGGGGTGCTCAGGGTCCCCTCTTGGGGTCCCAGGGTGGGTCATGGGGGTGAGTGGGCTGGGTTCAGCCCCATGGAGGGAGTTTTGGGGGGCACCACCACCTCAGCCTCCCCCTTCCCATGTAATATCCCATAGAGGTGGTGGTATCAGGGTGGGCATCACTGGGGACCACCCATGGTGGGGTGCTGGGGGTCCGCTTTGGGGTGTGATATGGGGTGGGCAGGCTGGGTTCAGCCCCATGGAGGGAGTTTTGGGGGGCACCAGCACCTCAACCTCCCCCTTACCCCCACCTCTATGGGGCCAGGGTGGGCATCACTGGGGACCACCCATGGTGGGGTGCTGGGGGTCCCCTCTGGGGGGGTCCCAAGGTGGGTGGTGGGAGTGGGGACAGGCTGGGTTCAGCCCCATGGAGGGATATTTTGGGGGGGGGCACCAGCTCGTGTCCCCTTGCCCCCACCACCATGGGACATCACGTGGGGCCATGGTGGGCATCACCCATGGTGGGGTGCTGGGGATCAGCTCTGGGGGGGTCCCAGGGTGGGCAGGCTGGGTTCAGCCCCATGGAGGGAGTTTTGGGGGGCACCAGCACCTCAACCTCCCCCTTACCCCCACCTCTATGGGGCCAGGGTGGGCATCACTGGGGACCACCCATGGTGGGGTGCTGGGGATCAGCTCTGGGGGGGTCCCAGGGTGGGCAGGCTGGGTTCAGCCCCATGGAGGGATTTTTTTGGGGGCCACAATCATTTCAGCCCCCCCTTCCCAGCACTGCCATGGGGTATTGCATGGGACCAGGGTGGGCATCACCCATAGTGGGGTGCTCAGGGTCCCCTCTTGGGGTCCCAGGGCGGATGATGGGGGTGGGCAGGCTGGGTTCAGCCTCATGGAAGGATTTTTTTGGGGGGGACACGACCAGCTCAGCCCCCCTTTTTCCCCCCACTGCCATGGTGTATTGCATGGGACCAGGGTGGGCATCACCCATGGTGGGGGGCACCTTTGGGGGCTTCTAGGGTGGACGATGAAGGTGAGCAGGCTGGGTTCAACCCATGGAGGGATTTTTGGGGGGCACCACCAGTTAAACTCCCTCTTTTTTTTGTTATTTCCCCCCAATTCCCTCCAGCCCCCCAGCCCTCCCCACGCAAGGAGAAGGAGCCCCGGGGTCGCCAGGCAGGGCCGGGCAGTGGGGGCAACCGGGGGCCCCCCCGGGGGTCCCTACAGTCGGAGTCGAGCTCCTCCAGCGAGGGGGACCCCCCGTACCCCTGCCCCGAGATCCAGCGCCTGCGGGAGGCCGCCGGCATCGCCCTGCGCCAGGACAAGCAGCCCCCGGCCCCCCGCCGCTGCGAGGCCAACCACAAAGGTGAGGGAGACCCCTGGGGAGGGGGTGTGTGGGGGGGTTTGTGTGTCCCCCCCTTTTATTTTGGGGGGGTTCAGAGGGGGTGCCCATCTCCATCCCCAACCCCTCTGCTTGGCCGCAGGGTCCTGTAACGAGTCGGAGAGTAACGATGAGTCCATCCCGGAGCTGGAGGAACCCGAGGGCTCGGAGCCACCACCAGCCCAGACCCAGGTGGGGGTTTTGGGGGTGATGTGTGGGGGGGTTTT